CTCTCTCTCTCTCTCTCTCTCTGTCTTTCTGTATGTTTATATGATTTGATTTATTTCTCTCTCAGACACTGATCTGTTGCTCGGGTCCCCCCCAGAACAGACAGAGTATATTTCACCCCCCACACACACTCTACATTTACTTATTTAATCTCCCCCTGTCTCTCGCACACGCACATACACGGTGTATTTTTCCCTCAGACACTGACCGGATCCTCGGAGGCTCCGCCAACATCGCCATTTTGCCGGGAGTCACGTGGGCGCCGCGCGCCTGCGCGCTCTGGAGGCGGTTGGAAGGGGAGCTGCATTTGGATAGCGCCTTTCAGTACCTGCAGCTACTGGCTACCTGATCCGGTCTAGCCGCTACCCCACAATCCTACCACCCTCTTCTTGAGTACAGGGGCTATATTTGCTCCTTTTCCAGTCTGCTAGAAAGTTTGCAGAATCGAATGAACTCTGGAAAACTCAAACCAATGCATTGCCGCATTCTTAGTCAGTTCTCTTACGTCCATAGGATGAAGTCCAAGACCCTGAGACATAACAACCACAATTCAAATCAGTTTGCTCAGTACGGATTCCTCCTCATTGAGAGATAATTTCTGAGTCCCTAAACTGCAGACAAAGCAAAATATATATTAACTTCTTCTGTCATTTCTGTATGATCTCCTGTTAACACTCCATTCTCACCCTCTCGAACCCCAGCATTCATTTTACTCAGAGATAGCAAGAACTGCAGATGCTGGAGTCAGAGATAACAAAGTGTGGAGCTGGAGGAACACAGAGAGCCAGGCAGCACCAGAGGAGCGGGCAAGTTGACGTTTTGGGTTGGGACCCTTCTTCAGAAAAGGGCCTGACCCAAAACGTTAACTTTCCTGTTCCTCTGATGCTGCCTGGCCTGCTGTGTTTCTCCAGCTCCATACTGTGTTGTCAGCATTCACTTTACTTACTTGTTTACAAAGCACAATACAGCGCAGGAACAGGTCCATCAGCCCTCCAAGCCTCCGCCGCCACATTTTGTCCTTCCACACTAAAACTGTTTTCACTTACAGGATCTGTATCCATCTATTCCCTTCCTATTCATGTATTCATCCAGGTGCTTTACTTTTAAAAACCTATAGAATATCTTATTTATTTTTACATTTCTAGCTAGCTTCCCCTCATGCTGCAAATTAATAGTCCTAATTAAACTTTTAGTCATTAGCTCTTTATATGTTGATAAGTCATCTGATCCTCCAGTCACCTTTAACAATTAAATATTTTTTTCCTTAAGATTAATGCTTCTCTGAACCTCTAATTAACCACAGACAGTGGGTGCTCCCCTTGGCATTTTACTTTAAAACAGGAATGTACTTCTTTAAGTATTCTGAAGTGTCCCATTAAATGTTGCCACTGCTTCTCACTTGATCTATCTCCTAGACTAATATCCCAATTCGCCTCATCTAGCTCTCAGCTTTCATGCCTAAGTGTTTATTTAAGTTTAAAATACCCAGCTTAGATACCCCGCCTTCTCTCTTGAAACTGGTTGTAAAATTCAATCATGTTACAACTGCTGGTCACTGAGTCATATAGATCTGCACAGCCTTCATTCCATCTTGTCTGTGTGGGTCAAAAGCAACCATGTAACTATTCTAATCCCATTTTCCAGTACTACACCCATAGCATTGTACACCTTAGCATCGCAAGCGTACATCTAAATACTTGTTAAATGTTATGAGGATTTCTGCCTCTACCATCCTTACAGGCAGTCAGTTCCAGGTTCCCACTATCCTCTGGGTGAAAAAGCTTTTCCTCGCATCTCCTCTAAACCTTCCACCCTTAACTTAAATCTGTGGCCCCTGGTCATTCATCCCTCCATCAAGGTGAAAAGTTTCGTCCTGCCTCCTCTATCTGTGCCCCTCATAATTTTATACATCTCATTCATGTCTCCTTTCAATCTCCTCTACTCTAAGGTAAACAACCCCAGATGGTCCAAGAGATAGTAAGAGCTGCCGATGCTGGAGTCAGAGATAACACAGTGTGGAGCTGGAGGAATACAGCAGGCCAGGCAGCATCAGGGGAGCAGGAAAGTAGACGTTTCGGGTCAGGACCCTTCTTCAGAAAACAAAAATTAGAATAGTTAGATGGTTGCTGTTTCTTCCCACAGCCCAAAGAGGTGCAGGTTAGGGTGGATTGGCCATGCTAAATTGCCCACAGTGTCCAGGGGTGTGTAGGCTAGGTGGATTAGCCATGTGGAATGCAGAGTTACAGGGATAGGGTAGGTGTGTGGATCTGGGTGGGATGCTGTTTGGAGGGTTGGTGCAGACTTGATGGGCCGAATGGCCTGCTTCCATGCTGTAGGGATTCTATGATTAATTCTATGTCATCTACATAGAGAAACTTGCAGACAGGTCATGGGTGCACAAATTTCATGTGGTGGGAGTCCATTTGTCTTTTTCCTTCAGGCACCAGTCTTGTCACCAACATGTACTGTGAACTAGCTGTCCCATACTAGCAGTCCCATGGTGCCAGTAACCCAAGGAGGGAGAATTCTTAACATTTTGTCAAATGCACCAATATTTATTGGAAGGGGGCAAGTTGAGAAAAGTCATCACGAGTTAAGCACACAGCTTCACGAGCACAGTTTTATTTTGTTTGCACAGGCGTGCAAGAGTCAGGAAGTGATGTTGAAGCTTTATAAGACTTTGGTTAGGCTGCACTTAAAGTATTGTGTTCAATTCTGGTCACCACATTACAGGAAGGATGTGGAGGCTTTGGAGAGGGTGCAGAAGAGGTTTACCAGGGTGCTGCCTGGATTAGAGGGTATGAGCTAAAAGGAGAGACTGGACTAGGAAAAGGAGGAACTAGGATTGTTTACTCCGGAGCAGCAGAGGGTGAGGGGAGACCTGATAGAGGTCTATAAAATTATCAGAGGCATAGATAGGGTTGACAGTCAGAATCTTTTTTCCCCAAGAGTTGACATGTCTAATACTAGAGGGTATGCATTTAAGGTGAAGGGGGAAAGTTCAATAGAGATGTGAGGGGGCAAGATTTTTATGCAGAGAGGGGTAGGTGCTTGGACTGTGCTGACAGGGGGTTGGTGGAGGTGTTTAAGAGACCTTTAGATAAGCACATGAATATGCAAGGAATGGAGGGATATGGACCAAGGACAGGCAGAAGGGATTAGTTTAATTTGGCATCATGTTCGGCACAACATGGTGGGCAGAAGGGCCTGTTCCTGTGCTGTACTGCTCTGCGTTCAATGCTCGAGGATGTGCTATTTGCTGTTCCATTCCATGAGTGCTGCTCCTGTTCATTGTGATTACTTATATATTGGAAATATCCCAGTCACTCTCTTCCCATCTCAATCTGTGCCTCTCCTGATGCCCTTCTCGACCTTGCTTTCCAGTTTCCTAGCCCTAACCCTGCCTTCTGCAATGCGGACATCAAATCTCTGCATCACCATTCCCCTCTCAGGATAGTGTGACATGTTGTCTATAACTTTCCTTTCGAACAAAGTTTCAACCTGCCCCGGTGCATCATGACAAATTGCTCCTGCCTATTTGGACTCGCTCTTACACTGGAAAGGTCCTCCTATAACTCCACACACTCCTTTAAACAATATGACTTTTTAAAACACAATAAGAGCTATTATTCTGCACATGGCTCCTGGCAACGACTGCTCTTTCTTCCAAGGATGTGGGGTTTGTTCCAAAATCTAATTCTACTCAGTGGCCCTCCCTCACCTTTTCTCCAGGTACATTCATAGTTCTATCAGAGCCGTTTCCTACTCCCAGTGAACTGGAAAATGCGATTCACTGAGTTTCCACTTGTCATGCTTCCCGATCCGTCACATGAGCCACCAGCACCAGCATTCTGGCATTTGAAATTCACCTGAAAGTGAGCTGAAACATTCTGAAATATCAGGGCAGACAAGAGACTGGGTATTTTGCAGGGAAATATTCTCCTCTTGACTTTTCCAAAGCTATCCACCGCGGCACGTCATGAGTGGACTGAATACTCTCCCCTTGCCTGGATGAGTGCAGCTCAAAGAACACCCAAGAAACTCTACACTAGCCATGGACAATTAAAGAGATAAGGGACAGCGTAAAACTAAAATGAAGGGCATACAAAGTGCAAAAAGAAAAATCAATCTGAATGGGAAAGATAAAAAAAAATGCACAGCAAAGACCATAAAGCAGCTTATAAGAGTGACTAAGAGGGATCATGAAAGGAAACTTGCCAGGGACATCGACATCAATGAGAAGAAATGTTTATATTTATGTAAAGGGAAAGCCGATGGTCAGGAGCAATGTTGGCCCATTAAAGACTGAAAGTGGGGATATTGTCAATGAATGTGGGGAAATGGCAGACATGTTGAATAATTACTGTGCCTCAGTACTTAAAATAGAAAAGGAGGAAGTCCCGAGGAAATGTCGGGAACAGGGACTGAATAAAATTAATGTAAGTGAAACATTGGTAGTGAGGGCATTAATGGAATTAATTAGTGACAATTCTGTAGGACCTGATGGTTTCCATCCAGGGTGTTAAAGGAAGTAGTGTTGCAATTGTAGATGCCTTAACTATAATCTTTCAGAGTTTCCTAAATAGATTGGAAAATTACACATGCTGCTCTGCTTTTTAAGAAGAGCAAAAGAGGAAGACCTGAGAATTACACCCCTTGCTTTCTAACTGCTGGAACGTAGGCGTGTTCTTCCTGCAGCTTCTCCTAGGGCATTTTCTCACTGCGCCTGGTTCCTTTGACTGTGCCTCGGACGGTAGCCCACCTCATGTGCACTCGGAGCATCTTAGCCAAAATCCAGCATTTTCTTCAGGCAGAAACGGTGTCAGGCTGCAACATCTGCAGTGTCCCCCTCGTCCTCAGAGGTTTCTTCCACACTAGGCAGACAGGGAGAACCCACTGACAGCCTTGCCCGATGTTCCAAGGGGCCGGATATGTTTTGCTCCTGCCCCATTTGGGAGATTGCAGCTTTCCACGTGCTTGTTCAGGACTGCTTTTCCTACCCAAACTTTGTAAGTCATGGGACCTGACCTTGCGTCGACCATTCCTCTTAACTATGCAGGGCCACTCACATGGTTTCAATACCAAACCTTGTCCCCTTGGTCCTATAATAAAACAGGAACTGGGGCCGTTTGGTATCAAGCGAAGCTGTAGGCTGTTTCTTTAAGCCTGCCTTCAAAGTTTGTACTGCTGTTTCCACCAGATCATTGGACAATGGATGGCATGGAGCTGTCCTTACATGCCGAATGCCATTCAAATTTAGGGAAT